TCTTATTCTCTCTCTCTCTCCCTCCCTCCCTCTCGCTGTGTGTGTTTGTGTGGTGTCTATCTCAGAAAACCCTATCTGACGCACCACTGCTTCTGTGATAAATGACGGGGAAAAAAGCTTTGCTCAGGCTTCGTCCGTCAAAAGTAAATGTCCTTTACAGTGTCTGTCAACACACAAACACACACACATACACACACACATACATACATACATACATACATACATACATACATACATACATACATACATACATACATACATACATACATACATACATACATACATACATACATACATACATACATACATACATACATACATACATACATACATACATACATACATACATACATACATACATACATACATACATACATACATACATACATACATACATACATACATACATACATACATACATACATACATACATACATACATACATACATACATACATACATACATACATACATACATACATACATACATACATACATACATACATACATACATACATACATACATACATACATACATACATACATACATACATACATACATACATACATACATACATACATACATACATACATACATACATACATACATACATACATACATACATACATACATACATACATACATACATACATACATACATACATACATACATACATACATACATACATACATACATACATACATACATACATACATACATACATACATACATACATACATACATACATACATACATACATACATACATACATACATACATACATACATACATACATACATACATACATACATACATACATACATACATACATACATACATACATACATACATACATACATGTCAATTTATTCGCATAAGCGCAATCGCCTATGGATGTTCTGGCCTAGTCTACGATCCCACAGAAAGAATTTCACACAGGTCTCAAACTGAAGTAGTTGTGTAAACCTTTCAGTGAAGTTGTTAGACAAGTTGTGTACACGAGACCGGATTTAACTTGATGGGGCCTTGGGCTATATAAAGCCCTGAGACCTCTACCGTTTTAAATTGCACCAGTTAATCTAAAAAAAAAAAACAGTATAATGTATGCGGCTTTTAAAAATATGGATAATGACAATATGTATATTGTCCTTTCAGTTTTGACGAAAGAAATAATAAAGAAAAAGCCATATTATTAAAATATTGCAATTTAAATTAAAAAAAAAAAACAATTTGTAAACGAAAACTTTACAAATAGTAATTTACTGAGGCCCTTGTAGATTGTGAGGCCCTAATCTGTACCTTATTTAGTTGATGCCTAAACCAAAGCCGTCTTCCGTATTTAGAGAAGGCCTTGCCTAAAACCCAGCACTGTATATACACCACAGGTTGTCTTCACTTCTTCTTTTTCTTAGCGTTCACCGGCTGTAAACTCCGGCCCGTAAGTTGTTCCTCTATTACAGAGTTTGATCTTGTTGCAGAACTTGAGTTTTGCATGCACATCGGCTTTACTATCTAGCTTGTTTGTATGCAGACTATTGGTTCCTAGCATCTCAGGCAGATGCACTTCCAATGAAAAATCTCCTAACTAGTCGCTTTGTACGACATGCTTGTTAGGGGACAGTGGGTCTATTCTTGTTACCCCCAGAACCCATACGTGGAATACCCCGGGTTGCATAAACTATATTTTCAAAGTATCTTTGGGTGCGTCTCGGGAAAAGGGAACCAGAATATGTCGTGCTAATGAGAAAGGTTGAAGAGGTTGGATGGGGAGGGGGGGGGGGGTACTGGATAATTTGACATCATGACAGAAGAATGTTTGGGTCCTACATTATTGACAGCTACTTGTTATCCTTATCGAGGTTCTAGCACATAGGTCCTCGCCATTCGTGCTTCGTCCTCCAAGACAGCAGCCATCTCAGTGTCTCTATGCTCACCACCGTATCCAGAAGGAAATGACTGACGTATCTTCTTAAATGATTGACAGCAAGCGTGACAAAAGGATAAGGACACATGATTACCACCGCCAATGGCGTAGGGAAGAAGAAGAAGAAGAAGAAGAAGAAGAAGAAGAAGAAGAAGAAGAAGAAGAAGAAGAAGAAGAAGAAGAGGAAGAAGAAGAAGAAGAAGAAGAAGAAGAAGAAGAAGAAGAAGAAGAAGAAGAAGAAGAAGAAGAAGAATGAAGAAGAAGTAGAAGAAGAAGAGGAAGAGGAAGAAGAATGAAGAAGAATGAAGCGAAGAAGAAGAAGAAGAAGAAGAAGAAGAAGAAGAAGAAGAAGAAGAAGAAGAAGAGAAGAAGAAGAAGAAGAAGAAGAAGAAGAAGAAGAAGAAGGAGAAGAAGAAGAAGAAGAAGAAGAAGAAGAAGAAGAAGAAGAAGAAGAAGAAGAAGAAGAAGAAGAAGAAGAAGAAGAAGAAGAAGAAGAAGAAGAAGAAGAAGAAGAAGAAGAAGAAGAAGAGAAGAGAGAAGAAGAAGAAGAAGAAGAAGAGAAGAAGAAGAAGAAGAAGAAGAAGAAGAAGAAGAAGAAGAAGAAGAAGAAGAAGAAGAAGAAGAAAAGGAAGAAGTGGAAAGAAGAAGTCAAAAGAAGAAGAAGAAGGAAAAGAAGAAGAAGAGGAAAGGGAAGAACAAAAAGAAGAAGAAGAAGAAAAAGAAGAAGAAGAAGAAGAAGAAGAAGAAGAAGAAGAAGAAGAGAAGAGGAAGAAGAAGAAGAAGAAGAAGAAGAAGAAGAAGAAGAAGAAGAAGAAGAAGAAGAAGAAGAAGAAGAAGAAGAAGAAGAAGAAGAAGAAGAATGAAGAAGAAGTAGAAGAAGAAGAGGAAGAGGAAGAAGAATGAAGAAGAATGAAGAAGAAGAAGAAGAAGAAGAAGAAGAAGAAGAAGAAGAAGAAGAAGAAGAAGAAGAAGAAGAAGAAGAAGAAGAAGAAGAAGAAGAAGAAGAAGAAGAAGAAGAAGAAGAAGAAGAAGAAGAAGGGAAAGAAGAAGAAGAAGAAGGGGAAGAAGAAGAAGAAGAAGAAGAAGAAGAAGAAGAAGAAGAAGAAGAAGAAGAAGAAGAAGAAGAAGAAGAAGAAGAAGAAGAAGAAGAAGAAGAAGAAGAAGAAGAAGAAGAAGAAGAAGAAGAAGAAAAGGAAGAAGTGGAAAGAAGAAGTCAAAAGAAGAAGAAGAAGGAAAAGAAGAAGAAGAGGAAAGGGAAGAACAAAAAGAAGAAGAAGAAGAAGAAGAAGAAGAAGAAGAAGAAGAAGAAGAAGAAGAAGAAGAAGAAGAAGAAGAAGAAGAAGAAGAAGAAGAAGAAGAAGAAGAAGAAGAAGAAGAAGAAGAACAAAGCAGAAGTGGAAAAAGAAGAAGAAGAAGAGGAAGAAAAGGAAGAAGTGGAAAGAAGAAGAAGAAGAAGAAGAAGAAGAAGAAGAAGAAGAAGAAGAAGAAGAAGAAGAAGAAGAAGAAGAAGACGAAGAAGAAGAAGAAGAAGAAGAAGAAGAAGAAGAAGAAGAAGAAGAAGAAAAGGAAGAAGTGGGAAAAAAAGGAGAGAAAAAGAAAAAAGAAGAAGAACAACAACAACAACAAAAAGAACAAGAAGAAGAACAAGAGGAAAGGGAAGAAGAAGAAGAGGTGGAAAGAAGAAAAAGAGGACGAAGAAGAAGAAGAAAAAGAAGAAGAAGAAGAAGAAGAAGAAGAAGAAGAAGAAGAAGAAGAAGAAGAAGAAGAAGAAGAAGAAGAAGAAGAAGAAGAAGAAGAAGAAGAAAAGAAGAAGAAGAAGAAGAAGAAGAAGAAGAAGAAGAAGAAGAAGAAGGGGAAGAAGAAGAACAAGAAGAAGAAGAAGAAGAAGAAGAAGAAGAAGAAGAAGAGGAAAAGGAAGAAGTGGAACGAAGAAGTGAAAAGAAGAAGGAAAAGAAGAAGAAGAGGAAAAGGAAGAAGAAACAGAGGTGGAAAGAAGAAGAAGACGAAGAAGAAGAAGAAGAAGAAGAAGAAGAAGAAGAAGAAGAAGAAGAAGAAGAAGAAGAAGAAGAAGAAGAAGAAGAAGAAGAAGAAGAAAAAGAAGAAGAAGAAGAAGAAGAAGAAGAAGAAGAAGAAGAAGAAGAAGAAGAAGAAGAAGAAGAAGAAAAGAAGGAGAAGACTAGTTTCGACTTTAGCCCATGTAGACGGTTTATGAGTCATATGGAGATTTTTACTTTTAGAAACCCAGTGATAGGATATCTCATCAGGCTTGTTGCTAAATGATGCGACTCCTAGCCTTCATTTATAAATGCGAAAAACTGTGGGGACGCATATTATTGTAATCCAATCTCCTAGTGAGAAGCAAGTTTTTTGTTATTTGAAGCCCTACTCTGGCTCTTGTCAGAGGCCGCAATTTAGCCCGGCCATAAATATGGTCTAATGGCTGAACGCGGTTTCTGAGACCTCTCCGCGGTTATCCTCAGCCACATGGTGGCACTTTATGTCATTGGGTGTTTATCGCTTGTGTAATATCCTGGTGGGGTAAGAATCTACTGCTACTACTGGGGACGCATTGGTCTGTGAGAGTGGCGTGGTGGGGAATAACAGGCATACAGATTGGCTGGATCTGCACCGCTGGGTGGTGAGCCCTTTGGGAACAAGTAACAAAGTCAGAAGAGACACTAGATTATTATGGGCTAGAGAGAATGATGCACCTGGGTGTGACCAGAAGGTTCGGCCGGCACACTGCGCTCAGAGGAAAAGCAAGAGGAATAAGCAACCATACTACGACTGGCACCATTAGTACTGGAACTCTGCGTTGGCTGCTGAGGATGTGGATGCAGCGCGTTTAGGAGTTCTGTGATGTCAATTCTTGACCCAACTTAACATAACTATTTTGTTTGAATAGTCATTCTGTTTTTGACAACAAAATATGAAACGCTTAGATTTGCACTGGAGGGACTTAGCAACATAACTTGGGCATACCGCTACTACAATGTTGCTAATGTCTGCACTATACCACATTCTGGCGTATGCTATTATTATTATTTTTTTTTTTAAACTTTCATATTCCCACAGGTGGAGACAATCCTCAGGCCCCTGGACCTGACAGATGACCACTATCGAAGGCTGATGGATCTCATGACCGAGGACATCGTCAAGGGCATGAATCCTCAGACCCACCCGGCTGCCAACATAAAGTGTTTCCCAACTTTTGTCAGATCCGTGCCGGATGGCACAGGTGGGTTACCTCCTCATTACTTCTAAGCCGCTCTGCCAAAAAAAAAATCTGATTTTTGTTCTTTCTTCAAAAAATGACCCATGCTACCATGTCGACTTACCCTAAAATAGGTACCAGAAAGTCATGGAAAGTAAAGACGTCTGGCGGGATGTTGACCACATTACCCATCAAGTGCCCGTTGGTCTATACAAAATATGCCTAAGGTTAAAGTACTTGTTGTTTCCTAAATATAGATGTAAACTCTGTAGTAAAACGTACAGCGAAATATTCCAGTGGTGCGATGTTATTTTGTCATTCCTTTGTGGGGTGCAATTTTTCGTTATATTTGAAGCCCTACTCTGGCTCTCGTCGCAGGACAGCCTGCTATATAGCCCAGCCATAAATATGGTCTAATGGCTGAACGCGGTTTCTGAGACATCTCTACGGGTGATCCTCATCCATATGGTGGCACTTTGTGATATCGGGTGTTTATCGCTTGTATGATGTCCTGATGGGGGGGAAAAGATAGATAGATAGACAGTGGTGCAATATATATTTTGTGTTCCTTTTTTTGAACTTTACATGCAGCTTTAACTGTTTTTGTCTTATAGTGCATGCCGTGCAGTGTTGGTAGTCATGTCTGTCCACAACCTCATGAGTCGTGTATTTTCAAGCAATTATAAGACAGGTGATCGTCCATGCCATGATGTCAAACTGTCCACCGTCTTCTCTTTCTGTCTTCCTCCACCTCTTTTTCTTTCCAACTTTCCCGCCGTCGCGATGTACTCCAGTTTTCTTATTCTCATGACATGACTAAAGGAATCCACGAATACGGCGGCAAAGACTTAACATTAAAGTCGTAAAGTCGCCCATCATTATCAGTGAGCAGGTCCCTTACACATAACCGCGCTGTCGTCACGGAACTCTGAAAGTCTCTCTGTCTCTACCCAGTTATCCAGCCCTGTATGCTTTCATAGCCTAGTGCATCTTCAAGGTCTTGAATACACCTTCGTGGAGGTCTGCTTCTGCATCGGTTTACGGAAGCCGTATTCTCCACCACCGTTCTCTATAGCTCTCCAAACATACAGTACATGATAATACGGATTCAGGACAGCTGGCAAACGGTCAAGAATCTTTCCAGCAGACTGAGATAAGACAGACATTCTATAAAGGAACTGTTGCATACAGGGACGCTAGAACTTGGATTTTTCCTAGGAGAGACGGTCAAAAATCTTTCCAGCAGACTGAGATAAGACAGACATTCTATAAAGGAACTGTTGCATACAGGGACGCTAGAACTTGGATTTTTCCTAGGAGAGACGGTCAAAAATCTTTCCAGCATGCTGAGATAAGACAGACATTCTATAAAGGAACTGTTGCATACAGGGGCGCTAGAACTTGGATTTTTCCTAGGAGAGACGGTCAAAAATCTTTCCAGCATGCTGAGATAAGACAGACATTCTATAAAGGAACTGTTGCATACAGGACGCTAGAACTTGGATTTTTCCTAGGAGAGACGGTCAAAAATCTTTCCAGCATGCTGAGATAAGACAGACATTCTATAAAGGAACTGTTGCATACAGGACGCTAGAACTTGGATTTTTCCTAGGAGAGACGGTCAAAAATCTTTCCAGCATGCTGAGATAAGACAGACATTCTATAAAGGAACTGTTGCATACAGGGGCGCTAGAACTTGGATTTTTCCTAGGAGAGACGGTCAAAAATCTTTCCAGCAGACTGAGATAAGACAGACATTCTATAAAGGAACTGTTGTATACAGGGGCGCTAGAACTTGGATTTTTCCTAGCAGAGACGGTCAAGAATCTTTCCAGCATGCTGAGATAAGACAGACATTCTATAAAGGAACTGTTGTATACAGGGGCGCTAGAACTGGAATTTTTTCCTTTGTGGCGCCCCCTGGCTGTGTGATATCGATGATGAACACAGTATCAACGGTAAGAAGCCTAAGGAGTATAGTGATGATAAACTGTACTGACATTTATATGAGCCCCACTATTGAATAATATTGCCTTTCTCTTGTATAATCGAGGGAGCCGCTGTGGTGTAGCGGCTAGACTCTCGCCTGCGGATCGGCAGGTCGTGGGTTCGGGTCTGGACGATGCCGGACTTTTTGTTTCTAAAATAACATTGGCTGACAGGTCGGCCCAACCTTGAGTGGGTACCAGATATAGGCCTGGGAGGTAAAGGCGCTCGGATTGATGTTGACCATTTCATTCATGAGTAGCGATTAGTCTATAAAATGTAGGTCAAGTCATATATGTCTAATATGCCTAAAGGACTTGAAAATGGTCCTTTTTATAACTGATTTTACTTTACAGAACAGGGAGATTTTCTGGCTCTAGATCTCGGAGGAACTAACTTCCGCGTGCTCTTGATTAATCTGAATGGCCAGGAGGTCAAGATGGAGAGCAAGATCTTCATTATACCTCAACACATAATGCTCGGATCTGGCGTTCAGGTATTTTTGATTTCGTTACTTCATTCGTCTTCTTCGCACGTAATATGTAATGGCATCAGTACTTTCATTCGGTGTAGCCTCGCTGTTTACATGAAACAAACCGGCAATCACACAAAGTGTTTGATCAATGAAATAGTCACTGTGTTGAAGATTAGCTGCGATGGATCGTCAGAACTTCCTTTCCCTGGTTCTAGTGGAACAATACAACAGTGTTGTGCCCCTCTGAGCTAGTGGCTGGTTGTATGCACACCTTCCAACACACACACACACACACACACAGAGAGAGAGAGAGAGAGAGAGAGAGAGAGAGAGAGAGAGAGAGAGAGAGAGAGACCTACGATGAACTGCGGGTGACTTCGCAACCGTTGTGTGGTGCCCCAATATAACTGTTAAATGGCAATATGGTTGAATGGTGTTTCCGGAATATGTACCTGAGTGATTCTCGTCCGTGAGACGTTAATCCTACATAATGCAATCCTGGGAAAATGGGGGGGGGGGTGGGGGGGATGGGGGGATTTAAAAAAAAAACCAAAATAACACACAGCGGAGAAGTGTTTTGAATGCTGTATCTTCAATTAAGAATGGACATCACAGCACTCGGGACGCTCTCCCCATATTCGGCAGCCAGCGAAGAGTTTCAGTTCCGATGATACAAGTAACAATCCCACGGCATATGCATCTCACCTTTCCCTTGAGTGTTGAGCGTCGGCCAGATCCCCTGGTAACTCCTCGCAGGGCCATTCTCCTCAGACTGTGATGCTATCGCTCCCTTACAACATCTAGCTTGTCATGAATCGATTCATTGCCAAGTGGTGCAGAACCAGCCGGTCTGCCTGTCTTTTCGTTTTCAAAAATATCCAAAAGGCGCTAACAATCCGGGACCTTTGAAGCGATGCTTGCTGCTCAGAGAAGTAAAGTCCCCATGTGGGTTCCGCGGCCCCTTTGTGGGGAAAACAAGAATAGACCCACCCCTTCCCTTACAAGCATGTCGTAGGAGTCGACTAATTGAGGGCTTTCTTCGAAGTCGGAGTGCATCTACCTGAGCGGCAAGGAATTTCCAGTTGCACACAAATAAGCCAGTAAAACAGATGTACACGCAAAACTCAGGCCCTGGCACAAAGCCAAGTGGACGAACAATCAGAACTTTCCGCCAGAGCTTACAGCCGGTTGAAGAAGAAGAAGAAGAAGAAGAAGAAGAAGAAGAAGAAGAAGAAGAAGAAGAAGAAGAAGAAGAGAGGTAAAGGACAAGCGGTGTGATGTCTACATAAGTCTTTGTGTCCCGGTTTGTAAATATGGCTGGCTTCACGAGCCCATTACCCTTAAGACATGGATACATAACCTCCCCTTTTTATTTGGTCTCTTCCGTCGCCATTGACGTATGTGGTCTGTGGGCTAGACTCATGTTTAGTAGACCAGTGGTCATGGAGAGGTAGGCAGTCAGCGTCACGCCGGTTACTTTTACTTCTTAGGACATTACCTGCTACTCATTTTAGGCCAATGTCAAATTCAAACGTAAGACATTCGAACCGACAGGCGAGTTTCTAGCTACTACGCAACCACGGCTCCCTTTTCCTCAGTTACTTACATACAGTTGGTGATCCTGTCAATACAGCAATGCACGAATCAAAGAGGAAGGTAAACATAGACTAAAGGTGAATGTATAGCAAACCCGCTGCACATAGTCCCAAGACTTGTTCAAGGTCAAGAAGCAGGAAGAAGAATCCGTATCCTGTTCTGTTATTGGAAAAAAAAACAAGGGCATTCTCTGAGGTGGTCATTGTGCCCTTTCAGGATTACTGCTCGTAGGATTACCAAATCACGGATGAGGAACAAACCGGAGCAAAGCGCAGAAAACCCGCTCAACCGTATGGCATAGTTAGATTAGGTTACTCCCCGGGTGGGTTCCAGGGTCCCATTGTAAAGGGTGGGGGGGGGGGGAAGATAACAGATTCATTGCCTCCCTAGCAAGTATATCGTAAGAGTCGAGTAGTCCGAGATTTTCCTTCGAAGTCGGAGTGCATCTGCCTAAGAGGCAACGAACCAACGGTCTGTATGCAAATAAGCCAGAGCTGTAACACGTATGTGCACCCCACACTCAAGCTCTGGAAAATGACTCTTTCTGGCGCCAGAAGTGGATAAATAACCAGAATATTCCTCCAGAAACCACAGTTTAAAATAAAAGGGGAGGGGTGTTCGGTCAGTTTAGGCGTTCACACGTTAATACTTGTACATGTTTCTCTTGCAGCTCTTCGATCACATCGCAGACTGTATCTTCAAATTCATAACAGATCACAAACTTCAGGGCAAGAAATTGCCGCTTGGCTTCACGTTTTCCTTCCCGTGTCGCCAGGAGGGACTGGATAAAGCGGTCCTGACAGTTTGGACAAAGGGATTTAACTGTGAAGGTGTGGTCGGCAAAGATGTTGTCGAGCTGCTACATGCAGCCTTCAAAAGGCGTGGGGTTAGTCCTTTCAGTTAGAAATAGCGTGTTTGCCCCGGCTGTCTCTCTTTTTTTTTAAGTTAAATAAATTTATTTATCCCGCATCTATCTCAATTTTCACTTCTTGTCAGTGTCATGTACATCGGTCACATTTGACTAGTAAGTATTCTATGAATAAATAAATGTAATGTACCTCCTGCCTTCAACTTTAACTAAAGTCGTCCCCATGTGGGAGGTTTTTATAAGGAGTAGAAAATTATAGAGAAGAGAAAAGGTTGGTAAGAAACAACAATTAGTTTATGTTAGCTTTACAAAATCGATCACAATAAACAAACAAAGGACGTTGCGGCGATCAGCCTTCATCAGCACATAAAGGACAATACAGTACACATACACAAATAGGCTCTAACTATGAAGTGACTACATAGGACTCTAATGTATAGAATAAACGATACTCATCTAGTGTTCCTGGCGAAACAACTTCGTTCAATGGAATGACGGTCAGCCTATATACCTCCAACGCGCAGGTAGGGGCAAAAAAAGGGACGGGTTTGACGCCAACAGCGTACACTGAGTGTCTAAGGAGGGAGGGAGGGGTTGGCCTATAGGGCGTAACCGAGGTTGGGTTGTGGGGATGACATTAGTCCATCCGCATGGAATAAAAGTGGTGCCTGTGCTTGCAAACAAATATCGACAGACAGACAGACAGATAGACAGATAGATAGACAGATAGACAGATAGACAGATAGATAGATAGATAGATAGATAGATAGATAGATAGATAGATAGATAGATAGATAGATAGATAGATAGATAGATAGATAGATAGATAGATAGATAGATAGATAGATAGATAGATAGATAGATAGATAGATAGATAGATAGATAGATAGATAGATAGATAGATAGATAGATAGATAGATAGATAGATAGATAGATAGATAGATAGATAGATAGATAGATAGATAGATAGATAGATAGATAGATAGATAGATAGATAGATAGATAGATAGATAGATAGATAGATAGATAGATAGATAGATAGATAGATAGATAGATAGATAGATAGATAGATAGATAGATAGATAGATAGATAGATAGATAGATAGATAGATAGATAGATAGATAGATAGATAGATAGATAGATAGATAGATAGATAGATAGATAGATAGATAGATAGATAGATAGATAGATAGATAGATAGATAGATAGATAGATAGATAGATAGATAGATAGATAGATAGATAGATAGATAGATAGATAGATAGATAGATAGATAGATAGATAGATAGATAGATAGATAGATAGATAGATAGATAGATAGATAGATAGATAGATAGATAGATTAGATAGATAGATAGATAGATGGATAGATAGATGGATAGATGGATAGATGGATAGATAGATGGATAGATAGATAGACAGACAGACAGACAGACAGACAGACAGACAGACAGACAGACAGACAGACAGACAGACAGACAGACAGACAGACAGACAGACAGACAGACAGACAGACAGACAGACAGACAGACAGACAGACAGACAGACAGACAGACAGACAGACAGACAGACAGACAGACAGACAGACAGACAGACAGACAGACAGACAGACAGACAGACAGACAGACAGACAGACAGACAGACAGACAGACAGACAGACAGACAGACAGACAGACAGACAGACAGACAGACAGACAGACAGACAGACAGACAGACAGACAGACAGACAGACAGACAGATAGATAGATAGATAGATAGATAGATAGATAGATAGATAGATAGATAGATAGATAGATAGATAGATAGATAGATAGATAGATAGATAGATAGATAGATAGATAGATAGATAGATAGATAGATAGATAGATAGATAGATAGATAGATAGATAGATAGATAGATAGATAGATAGATAGATAGATGCTTCTCTCTTACTGTCAGCTATCAAATAGAGACAGTAAGGATGCTTGTTATACAAAAGTAATCAGTCGAGCCCGAGAGTAAGTCTGATAACAACCAGAGTGTAAGGGAGCGATGAAGGGATAGATGGGAAAACAGCATGTGTGGATGGTGGTGTGGATAGGCGAGTGTGTCCTGGATAGATGGGTGGGTAGATGAATGGATGGAATGATGGATGACTGTATTAGTGGATGAATGGAATGGTAGATGGATGGATGGGTGGGTAGATGAATGGATGGAATGATGGATGACTGTATTAGTGGATGAATGGAATCGTAGATGGATGGATGGATCGACCAAATATGAGATGAGGTAAAAACATGAGTCTAGTAACACAGTGCTTCTCTCTTACTGTCCGCTATCAAATAGAGACAGTAAGGATGATTTTTATACAAAGTATTAGTCGAGCCCAAGTGCAAGGCTGGTAACAGCCAGAATGGAAGGAAGCGGTGAAAAATAGCATTGAGTGGATGGTGAGATAAATGGTGTGGGTAGATGAATGGGCGGGACGATGGTTACGTTCGTAGATAGATGCAATGGTAGATGGATGGATGGATCTGCCTATATGTATGCTGATATATTAAAACTGGTTCATGTGGGAGGCAATTTTCTGTTATATTGGAGCCACATCCTGGCTTTTGCCGGGGGCCGCAATATAGCCTGACGGTTAAACGCGGTTTCTGGGACATCTCCGCGGGTGATCCTCATCCGCATAGTGGCACTTTGTGTCACCGGGTGTTAATCGATCTGTGTGATCACCTGGGGGTGGGGTGGGGTGGGGGGGGGGGGTAAATTTACTTACTTACTTACTTCTCCATTTTGACCGAAGAGCAGTGACAGCTCGTGTATAGGCCACTGTAGAACAGCAGCAACCACTCCCCCCCCCCCCCCCCCTCTTCACCACTCCCTTTTATGCTCGATATTACAGATAAGTTCACTGCAATAAGCCTTTTTTTTTAAACCTCGAATTCTTTGTTTATATTTGTCAGTAGCCATCCCCTGTCTGACTGACCTGTCCAGACCGCATAACCAGCGATAAACACTCGGTGACACAAAGTGCCACCATTCGAAAGAGGAGGCCGAGTGGTCTCGATGCATGGCGTCCGCATCGAGTGTTGGAGGTCCAGGTCCTAGTGGAGGTTGGGATTTTTTCACGTGGACTTCTAATAATTTTCCCTTGTCTCCGAGAAGTAAGATCGGACGCCCTTGTGTATTCTTGCGCACGTTTAACAAAAATCCCTTGGCAGTAGGAAATCAAAAATAGTAGACTAACGGCGCTGCCCGGGCAAAGTTTGAAGTTAAAAATCAATCCAAAAGTATTTAAGGATTATCGCCGGTGCTATGAATTTCGTGCATTGTGCTGAGATTCAAGCTTGAGTTAGAAGTAGAACGGAGCATTTATGGGTTTCTACTCTTGTGCCATGATGTTGATCCACTGTATAAACCATTTACACACACACACATACACACACACACACAAAGTTAGTTGCGTATCCTTTTACAGGACGTTGCAAAACCAACCCCAACGTTTTTTTTTTTTCACTATTGTAGTTTTTCTATGCAAATTTTACATTAAGTAGTTTGCCACTGCTGATGAACAGTCAGCTCTCTGTACCACTGTCGAAACGATCGCAAGACAAACCATAATCATAAACTATTTGAATAAGAACCGTCGGGGTGAAGGTCCCAGAAGCCATGTTCAAACGCTAGTTTATACTTAGGGCCCACCCTTAAAGCATTAGAGAGAAAGTTGGAATAAGACTATGTCTGGGTTCTATTGACAAACAAAGAATGAAATGGTTCAGTCATCAAATGAAAATGCAGCCAGAACCAAACTGCTTATGACACTTTCTACAGCAGAACATATGAGAGAAAGGTGAGAGGACGACCAAGACAGACATGGTTAAAGGTGTCGCTGAAACCTGCAAAAAGATTAACCAATCCATTACCCAAGCCACCCTTGAAGCACAAGACAAATACAGACAACCGCGACACCGCTTCCTCTTTGTTCACCGGTTATAAGCTCCGACTGAAAGTCCTGGTTGTCGGTCAATTTGGACTTTGTACCAGGGCCTAAGTTTTGCTGGCTTACTTGTTTGCTCCTTGCCGCTCTGGCAGGTGCACTCTGACTTCCAAGGAAGCTGCCCATCAGTCGAAACGTACACTTTCCATATCTGACTGAAGAGTCTTCTATAGATAAGTGTAACGTACATTTCCCGTATCTGACTAGAAAGTCTCCTGCAGATAAGTGTAACGTACATTTACCATATCTGACTGAAGAGTCTCCTACAGATAAGTGTAACGAACATTTTCCATATCTGACTGAAGAGTCTACTACAGATAAGCGTAACGTACATTTCCCATATCTGACTGAAGAGTCTACTACAGATAAGCGTAACGTACATTTCCCATATCTGACTGAAGAGTCTACTACAGATAAGTGTAACGTACATTTCCTATTTCTGACTGAAGAGTCTCCTATAGATAAGTGTAACGTAAATTTCCCATATCTGACTAAAGAGTCTCCTACAGATAAGTGTAAAGTACATTTCCCATATATAATTCAAGAGTCTCCTACAGATAAGTGCAACGTACATTTCCCATATCTGACTGAAGATTCTCCTTTACATAAGTGTAATGTACATTTCCCATATCTGATTCAAGAGTCTCCTTCAGAGAAGTGTAACGTACATTTTCCATATCTCACTGAAGATTCTCCTACAGATAACTGTAACGTATATTTCCCATATTTCATTCAAGAGTCTGCTATAGATCAGTGTAACGTACATTTCCTTCATCTGACTGAAGAGTCTCCTACAGATAAGTGTAACGTACATTTCCCATATTTGACTGAAGATTCTCCTACAGATAACTGTTACGTATATTTCCCATATCTGACGGATCAGTCTTCTATAGATAAGTGTAATGTATATTTCCCCATATCTGACTGAAAAGTATCCAGTGAATAAGTGCAGTGTATATATGACGCATCAACTGATGATTAGCCAGTAGATAAGTGTAATGTACACTGGCCACTCAGAATAGTTATAGTCATAGGCGCCAAACTCTAGGGACTCTTGAATGATGAGGCCCTTCCCCTCCCCCCTCAATATTTTAGGGGTGGCTCTGCTCCCCCTCCCCCATAATTGGAAGGGGGCGGTGAGACTCCCTTAGCAAATTTACAAAAGTGCTTTCCCTCCCTCTCCCCCTTCCTCCGCTTCCTTAACCATGTGTAGATTTTATATTTGTAAGTATTGTGGGGTCCAATTAACGTTTTCCGGCCAATCTGCTTAAGAGTATCTCATGGATAAGTGTAATATACATCGGTCACATTTGACTGAAGAGAATCTTGTGGATACATGCAGTGTACATTCGACACATCATCTAAAAAATATCCATTAGATAAGTACATTAGCCACACTGACTTAGAAGTATCCTGTAGACAAGTGCAATGCAGTCCAAATGAAAAGTATCCAGTGGATAAGTGCAATTTACATTTGACACATCAACTGAAGATTATCCAATAAAAATGCATTATGTAAATTTGACACATCTGATTGTTGAGTGTTACAGGGATAAGTATACTGTGCATCTGTTACATCTGACAAGGGGGAATTGGCGGCAATAACTACAATAAGCAGTAACACTAAGTGACCTAGCTCTGTGAATCTGTCCAGAGTCCTGCGACGACATTCCTCACTAACCACTCAGTGAGTGGTGGGCCACCCATTCCGTTCCATAGTGCTTCATGGCAAAAGAGAAAGATGCTGCTGATGATGATATTGTGCACAAAAAATTATAATTATCTATAACGTGTTGCTATTTTCTCTAGGATATGCCAAATGTCAAGTGTTTGGCTGTTATTAATGACACAGTTGGAGCCCTCATATCCTGTGCTCACAGTGATAGACAATGTGCCATTGGTCTTATTCTTGGTAAGTGATTAACAAACAAAGAAACAAAAGGTTCAGCTGTACTAGACACTATTGACATAAGACTTATTAATTACAAATAATATTTGAAATTAGGTAAGTAATAAAAGAAAAAAATTAGAGGTCCCTTTAGATGCCAGTGGTGCATCAGGCATATTATGCTAGACTCATATTATTATTATTATAGACCAATCAGCCCTGGATGTGTCATCAACATTACGCCGGCTTCCTTAACTTCCCAGGACTTTACCTGGTACTCATTTTGAGGCTGGTTCAACCTGGGAGCCAAGGTCATGTTTGAAACAAAAAAATCCAGCTTCATCTGGGAATTTGAACCCACGACATTCAGATCTAACCAGTACACAGTGGCGACTCTCTTTGTTATTGGGTGGCAGTGCAATATCGCCTACAGTGAGATACAGAAAAGAACAGGTGTTTATGGTTGTTTTAGTGCTCAGTCTTTAAAGGCTAAGACACTAGTCCGAGTTCAAGACACTAGTCTGTGTTCAAATATACGTCTAAGACACCCCCAGTTCAGTCTCCAGCACTGGGGGAATTATTTCGTCCAACCTGACAGCATGAAGTATGTACTGGATACATTCTAGAATTTGCTGGAACCTGTCTAGAAAAATAACTAGCATCCCAGCTAGAATTTGTGACAAACTCATATTTCAAACCCTGCTGCAATGTCTGCCATGTGACTTTTTTAAAAATTATCTGTCAGTATTTTTTTAACACTAGATTTAATTGACCGGCTTGTCATTATTTTTAAGCCACACTCTGACTGTTGTTGGGGGCCCTAATATAACCCAATGGTTGTCTTGAACGGTGTTTCTAGGACTTGTACCCGGGTGATCGTCATCCGAATGGTGGCAATTTGTGTCACTGGGTGATCGTCATCCAAATGGTGGCAATTCGTGTCACTGGGTGATCGTCATCCGAATGGTGGCAATTTGTGTCACCGGGTGTTGGTCGCTTGATGTAAGGTCCTTGTGGGGTTGAACGACACTCAGTTAATTTTACTGGAATATTAAGGTATTGCTTAGCGTATAATATTCAGCCAATAAAACTGTTTCAATATGACCAGCCTTTTCAAAACATTTACCTTTGTTTAAAATGGTGAAATGAAAATGAAATATTGGTATGGTTTTGACTAAAACAAGTGAATTTAATCCTGAGCATAGATATATCATTTGGAACATGCATTCCCTATTATAAACAGGTGTGTGCAGAGGAACATAATCAATTATGCTGTCCAGCATAGCAGTTATATTAATGATAGTTGCTGAACTTGTGCTGATAAATGTGACAATACCACACTGTTTCTAAAAAAACTCATGTTTGCAGTTATTTATATATAATTTCTTGATTTTTATATTTAAGGGACTGGAACAAATGCATGTTATATCGAAGATTTGCAAAATGTAAAAACCTGGACTGGAGATGATGGTGAGCCTAGACAGGTAAATATTATTCAAAGTTACAGTGTTGTTTAGCAAACGTTTCTGCTGAAGACTGGCATGCTTTATGTAGAGTGACCAGGATTCTTTCTGAGGTGTGGGGAGTAATACATTTATGTGGATGTTTTCTCCATGGTCAGCTGGTGTATTTGGAAATCACCCACACAGATTGGCTTGCTCTGCACCGATTGGTAGTGAATTTATGTACAATAAGGCAAATGTGGCCAAGGCCCTTTGGGAACACAAGGAGAATGCAGAAAAACAAACAGATCATCACCGAGACCATAGGATCTGGCCAACACTCATCTGCCCAAACGATCAATTTTGCAGTGTAGGCAAGGGGGTGTGGGCTTTGAGCCTGAGGATTTAGGGCCGCATGGACAGTGTTTTCTCCATGGACCATCCAGGTAAGGATTTTATTTTTGCCTCCTAACAGGAAAAAATCCCCAACCTTACCGAGGATTGGAACCTGTGTCTCCCGCATGAGAGCCCTGCATTCCTAACCACTGAAAGGAAAGGCAGAACAGACATATAATCTGATCACTACTGGCACTCCTGGCATTGAACTGTGCACTGGCCACCAAAGATAGGGCTGGTGTGTATGTGGGAATGTTCTGAGTCCTGTTACGTTGGTTCTCAACACAACTTGTTTCTTTTAAAGTGATGACTATATTAAAAATTTAAACATGACATATGGAAATAACCATCAAAGATGCATACCCATGCTTGCTCATTCTTCTGATGCAGCAGCCATTCCAAGGTCTCTATTGATTGTTCTAATGAGGAACTGGTTATAATGTTTCCTATCTGAGCCTCTAAGGTGGCATAGACATGCTTCACCATGCTTTACTCCTAGATCATACAATCTTCATACTTTTTTCTACTGAGTAATGAAAGTGTTTAGAAGAAGAAGTCAAGAAACAGGCTGGCACTGGAGAGGATACATACTGAGAAAACTTACTGATAGTATAAATAGAAAGTTTTTTCTCTGGAGCTTCAAATACATAAGATATAAAGGGAAAATAGACAGTACGTGAAGAATAGATGAATAGTTTGAGAAGGGCATAGAGGAAGATGGTAAAAGGTAAGAAGGCCTGGAGTGAGTTGGCTAAAGAACTATACTTTATTGGAGGAGAGAAGGTAGAAGAAGAAATTGAGAGAGAAGCATCACAACTTACCTAGTTTGTAGAACTATTTTCCATTGAATTTCAGGTGCTGATCAACTGTGAATGGGGAGCATTTGGCAATGATGGAAATCTGTCTTTCATCCAAACGGATTTTGATAAAGCTATTGACAAACATTCCATCAATCCAGGGAAGCAGATGTTAGTCTGAGACTTCTGTTTTATTTCCATAATAGTTTTGTTAGTGTGGTAATTTGTGATTGCATGAGAAATACAGAAGGTCATTGTCGCTAATTATTTGCTTTTACGTTAGCCAGGAATTTCCCTGAAATTATGTTGTTTACTTTGCAGTGGCGAGGCATGCAGGTAATGGCTGTAATCGTCTCCTACAGTTTCCATTGCTAAAGAAAAATGCATTATTTTATTATTCTTAATTATTGTTTACTATCTGTTAAAATACGCCACTCAGTTCGTATCTCCAACAAACAAAAAAGAACACTCACTGTGTGCTTAGGCAACATATGCAGAAAACATAATGTGTGAAAGCTACCAGTTACTACAGTGTACTACAATGCTAGCTGTACATGCATACTCTCAAAGACAAAGCAACAAGGAAAATTTACGACACCCTCTCCAATGTAATTGTTACCTGCTAATGCTTACACTTGCAAATTAATCACGCCTTGCCACTTATACTTTCCGCAATTTTTTTACATGAGAAATTCAAGACTGTGGTCTCAGAACTTTACCCATGTATGTGGACAGGCACCTTGAAATCCTAAACATATGCTGTAGACATGCTTTCTAAATGCAGTATATATATCTCAGGTCTGACTAGTTGGCATTCTGGTGGAAACCATGTTTGATGGATCAGTGGATGATATGCATTGCACAACAACAGTCATAGACGCCTGAGACCTTCTTATCTGAAAGCACTGGTTGGGAAAATGAAAACAAGAATAATAATTTTGTTGAACAATACGGTATTAGCCCATTATAATGTGCACATTGTTTTATTATTCTTTATGGACATTTTTTAAAATTATTCTTTAAGGAAATTGTAAACATATGTTTACATGAATCCAACAGTTTTCCCAAACTTTTTTGCCAGAAATATATTGTGACGATCAACTGTGTACTTTGTTTCCAGCTACGAAAAGATGATCTCAGGCATGTACATGGGAGAGATTGCTCGTCTTGCAATTGAAAGGCTCAGAAAAAATCATCTTCTGTTTGAAGGCGAAGGCTCATACCATTTGGCTACAAGAGGAAGATTTTACACAAAATATGTTTCTGAGATTGAAGGGTATGTGTCCTATTGTATGTGTTGCTTATAGCAGTTAATGGATAAATCAGAAGCCACGGGATCACGGCGGCTAGCACATTTGTCGGCTTAGTTCACATCTCCATAGTGGCAGATATCTTAATGACTTGAGTTCAAAGGTTAAACCAGCCAAAACATGGTTATCAGGAAATGTCCTGGGAAGTAAATAAAATTCCACATAACCAGTCAAGGGTCAATCGAACTTCAACAAATGTGGGGTTACATTATATGTCTTTATGTACCATAGTAATCAGTGTGATCACCTGCCCAGGTTCAGTCCCCAGCAGAGTTAGATATTTCTCTGATCAGTACAGCTTTGGTCTGTAAGCTGTGGGAATGAAAAACAACAAAGAAGTGAACTGGCCACCCCACATCATATTCTCACCGTAGAATATGTGAAGCTACACTGCTTACTTCAAAACACTATCTGCTATTAAAGGATCGATTACCTTTGCATTTTTTACTAAACTGATTACTAAATAAATTGTTAAAACAATATGTATTTTTTTAAACTTTATTCTATTCTTTCACATCTGTACACCACTTACTTTCTTCTTCTTCTTCTTCTTCTGCCTTTCTTCTTCTTCTTCTTCTTCTGCCTTCCATCTTTAATTATGAATAAGCCACTATCAATCTTAGTTTAAGAGGAGAATAATAATAAAACTGTGCTGAATGGCAAATAAATATAATATTATATTTGAAATAATATGAAGTATACAAGCAAATACTTTTAAAAGAGAATTTACATACATGGTTAAAGAGAGCTTCTTATTTTCCTTACACAACTGTGCTGAGGGAAAAGGGGGGGGGGGGAGTCGAAGGACTTAAGAGGTTTGAGCCCCATATTCCAGCGTGTAAATCTTTAATTTATTTTTAAATTTAAACAAAATTCAAACACTATTTCTAACTCGTTTTTTAAAACATAACCTAAAAATTGCAAAGGCCACCAAGCCATCATCATCACCAGCCTTAGTATGGTCATGATGCTTCGTAAATATTTTGCAGTCTTCAGAAGTATCAGCCAAGTGCTGATGCCCTTTCTCTCCATGAAAAAAACTGCTGGGAATAATCATCTCTCTCTCTCTCTCTCTCTCTCTCTCTCTCTCTCTCTCTCTCTCTCTCTCTCTCTCTCTCTCTCTCTCTCTCTCTCTCTTCTTTTTTTTCTTTCCTCAGCTGTCATAAAATTATAATTTTTCTCTTCTCATGATGTGGCAGAATATAATGGTTCTTTCTTTCCAAATGTTAATACGAGTACATAAAACTGATTCTTGTTAACTGTTCAGTTAATTAGAATAAGATTTCTCAGTCACTTTTCAAAGATTTGTTGATTAAACAAGTTTAACCTCTCTTGCAGCGATGATGTCACCAATTTCACAGTGACTAGGCAAATATTTGATGAGCTTGAGTTGACCAATCATAATGAGCAGGATTACCGTCTGGTCAGACATGTCTGCAATCTTGTGTCCAAGAGAGCCGCTTACTTGGCATCTGCAGGTAAACTTGTCATCTGCAGGTAGACTTGTCGTCTGCAGGTAAACTTGTCATCTGCAGGTAGACTTGGCATCTGCAGGTATACTTGTCATCAGTAGGTAGTTCTGGCATCTATAGGTAATCTTATTAACATACACAATTGTGTGTCCAAGACAACCGCCTGTTTGACATCTGTAGGTATACTCTTCACTGTTGTTTTGGAGATTGCAAGTTTGAGCAGATCCACTAGAAAAATCGCAACCAAAAGTTAGACTATTGGCTTTACTGCCAGCTTTACTATCATAGATACCTGGTTGAATCCCATAATGACAGCATTTTTGTTTTTTCTTCTTCCTTGTGCTCACTGGCTGTAAATTCCAGCAGAAAGTTCTGGTTCTCATTCACTTCTGGATTTCAGTCTTTTTCCAGAACCTGAGTCTTGTGGGCACATCCATTTTACAGATCTGGCTTATTTTTACACACATTGTTGGTTCCTCATCGCTCATGATGATGCACTCTGACTTCACTGGAAACATCCCTAATTAGTCGACTCTTACAGCATGCTTGTTAGTGGCAGTGGTTCTATTCTTTTTATATTTTTTCCCCCACAATGGTACCGGGTTCGATCCCAGCTGTGGACTTTGCGCCTTCTGTTGGTTTCGGCAGTGGTAACAAGAAGCCCTTCCGTCCAAAAAGCAATAGCAAACTACTAGATGTAAATTCGCCTAGAAGAACCACAACAGCCAAAACATGCTGGGGGTGGTTCTGCAATGTCCTGTAGAGGATACAAAACTAACCTTAACCCTACAATGGGGCCCCGGAGCCCCCACAGGGAATTATTGTTTTACAACCAGAGCCGCATTGAGCAGCTACTGCCCTATTCCATTGTTCCAGCACCTCCTTCCATTCCTTCCAGGGGTGGTACCATCCACTCTGGGAACCTATTGGCCAACACAATGATTTTGGGTTCTGTCTGCAGGTCTGAATGGAACTGTAGTCAATCCAGCCTCATAAAAAGAGGCACCAGACAATGTACATGAAAACATCAAATGAAATTAAAAGTGGCACCAGTCAGCTTCACAGTATCACAAACACAAAGTGAATGTTGTGGCTACAGAGCCTTTATCAGCACATTACATAAACCTACAATACCAGAAATATACGAACAAGAATACACAAAAATCTCTTAACTTGCATATCTCCGGCAGAAATCATATCCTTTTGTGACCAATAGAATATCTGACACGTGTGTGGCTACTAGAAATAAATACTGGCCAGAAAATACTGGGAGTGACAATGTTTAGAATTTTTGTAGAAATATCTGGAAAAGAAAGGTGATGAGGACTGGGAAGTTATCATCCCATCTCATATGTATGTGCTGTCATTACTACCTGTATCTACCACTTTTAAGCAGGTTTGTTGTACCTCATATGTAAGGTGTAGAACATGAAAAGGTGTACTTTACACTCTAATGGCAGTATTTGCAAAAGGCATATATATTTATATATATATATATAAGGTGAGACATATATGTATGTTACACACACACACACACGCATATATATATATATATATATATATATATATATATATATATATATATATATATATAGAGAGAGAGAGAGAGAGAGAGAGAGAGAGAGAGAGAGAGAGAGAGAGAGAGAGAGAGAGAGAGAGAGATATATGTGTATTGTGGTAGGTCTCTGTTGAGGCTAAATTTCTATATTATAAAATCTACCCATAGAATAATATGTTATTTGTCCGGGTATAAGATGACCCTTATTTTTTAGCCCCATAGTTGAGAAATAAATATTTATTCATATTTTTAATCATATTTTAATCAGTTTTAAACTAAAGCAAAACCACCTGTTTCTTTCTGTGTACTTCAGTGTTATGTTGCTTTTGCTTGATTTATAAGGTATAGCCTGTCTGCTGAATAAGATGAACAAAAAGGAAGTTACAGTTGGTGTTGATGGTTCTCTGTACCGCTTTCATCCATTCTTTCATGATCTGATGATGGAGAAGATACAAGCGTTGATAAGACCTAACATTCGTGTAAGTTTTCGTTTTGATTTGCTTGAGATAATGTACTCATATATTGAGACATGTGGCCATAATGTGTTGCTGTGCTTTAGTTTTCAGTAAAGAAACTGAAACACCAGTGGATGCTAGACTCTATCTTTTGTAGATCAACCAGCACTCAGTGGAGACGTGGCCAACATAATGCTAGTAACTTTTACTTACCAGGACCATTGGTAACCATTTTAGGCTGGGTTAAAGAACTGGCAGACAAAGTCATTTGAAAAAAAAATCCTTCAATGTAAGAAATCCTAAAAAAAGCTGACTTGAGTCACGAACAGACATTAACACTCGGGACTTCCAATACAGCTTTTTCCTCATCTTCAGCTGCCAGAGAAGAGTTCCGATTCTGATGGTTATAGTCGCAGATTTTTAATTGTACTTCTTAGCATTCAGCAGCTATAAACTCTAGCTGAAAATTATGTTTGTTTGTCCACTTCTAGTGTTTAGTCTTGTTTCAGAACTTGAGTTGTGTGTACATCCGCTTAAAAGATCTGGTTCATTTGTATGTAGACTGCCAGTTCCTCATCTCTCATGCAGGTGTAATCTAACTTCAAAGTTAACACCCTGACTGGTTGCCTCCTATTACATACATGCTTGTTGGGGGGTGAGGGTAAGTAAATGTATCCCCCCCCCCCCCCCCCACCCCAAATGGGGGCCCATGAATCCATAAAGGGAGTTGCAGCTTGATTATATATCTACATTGTCTTTTCCCTGAGTGGAGTGTTGGCCAGATCCCCTGATCATTGCCCGCTGTACCAATCTCTCAACACCGTAGTGATCTGTTTGCCCTTTCACAAGCTTCTCTTGCTCCCAAAAGGCCCTGACCAAATCTAGCTTGTCATTCATCAAGTCACCACCCAGTGGTGCAGCACCCACCAGTCTGCCTGATCATTACCCAACACACCTGCATACCTTAAAGCAAATACCTAACAGATGCGAACTACAGTGGATCTCTCAATCGATGCTTGCTACTCTGAATGGAGCATGTCTTTCTCTACTTTTGTTTGTTACAATCACAGTATGTGTGTGCTGCTGGTTGTAAAGCCAGTGAAAAGCTGCTTTGACTGCCTCCTCCTCCTCCATTCTCAAACTAGATGTTGTGTGTCCTAGGCTTTGTTGTATTAAGCGATATACATTTGGTTTGTCAATGAGCCCCCATGTACTTTTTCTGACTCTCACCATTGATCCACCTCTATATTTGATCCCATTACCTGGGCAGGAATTGTCAACTGGGAAATCTCAGTAGATGGAAGAAATTCCATAACACTTGACACATGTTTTTCGATAATGAACAACAGTACAATATTCAGTATATGCCAGCACCTTTGAACGTAAAGTGGATAAAGGTCTTTTTACATGCTAAAGGCACATCTGGCATATGTGGCTAGACTCATATTTTTATAGACCAGTTGGCCCTCGATGGCAGATGTGGCCAGCATTATCCTGGCTGTCTTTACTTCCCAGGAGTTTACCTGGAACCAATTTAAGGCCGGAGCAACCTGGGAGCCTTGACCTTCAGATCATCCAGCCTCTGGCAAACATCCAGCCTTTAAATCAGGCCAGCTCCCAGAGACTCTGACTTCAAAGGAAATTTCCTGGCGCATCTTTTAGGCTTAGTCGGCATGAAAGCTCAAGTCAGTGATGAAAAAAGTGACAACCAGACATACGAACAAATGTGCTTGATCAAAATATATGCTTATATAAATAGATTGCACACACCATTGGTTAGTTTTAGGATAGGGGTATGAGAAAAAAAATTGATATTTAACTGATAAATCATCTCAACTAATAAACTGAAAATATTATAAACGATGACAATGCATTGTCCTTTGGCAAGTCACGACATAATACAAATACACACACACCACTTGGGGTGGAATGTTGGGCTGTGGTTTTCAGTTAGGCTGTGATATCTGCACTTTTGGTCCAACAGCATCCAATTTTAGCAAACTTTTAATTAGCCAGGAAAGCCGCCATGGTGTAGTAGCTAAACGCTTACATGCGGATCTGAAGGTGATGGGTTCAGATCCTGATGGTGCCGATTTTTTTTTTCCGAAAATGATCTTGGCTTCTAGATTGATGACCCAGCCTTGAGTGGGTACCAGGTAAAGTCCTGTGAAGTAAAGGCAGCTGGCGTGATGCTGACCACATCACCCACTGAGTGCTGATTGGTCTATAAAATATAGGTCTAGCCCTACAGGCCCAATACGCCTGCAGGCATGGAAAAAGGTCCTTTAGATTACTGTAATAGTCACCTTTTAGGAAACGCTTTTTAAGGGTGAGTGGATCTATTCTCCCTGCTGGAGTTGGGGGACAAGAATGACTGCTGACATAAGCTGACAAAGCACCTGATGATGATGATGATGCATGGTATTTTAATCAATATATGTTTTTCACTTATAGAGATTAAATATTTATGTGAATAACATCTCTATTGAATTTTCCATTAATGTTACACAACTAGATCACAAGAAATTCCCATAGGCCAGATATTTGTATGTTTGCCTTCGAGCCCAGCTGTCTTCTTTTTTAATTCTTATCAATTCAGTCTGTTTAAAAAATACTTCCCACCCACAAAGATTTTCCAAGAAAGACAGGCTGCCTGCAAGATACTAACTGCATTATTGTAAGCAGTATTAGAGAGCTACAAGTATAAAACATAAATATCCAATATAAACAAATATGGCAGTTCTAGGTATTCAAATTTTAACCCTAAATATTTGAATAGGATATTGTTAACTGAAATATGACTCCCCAGTGTGGGTTCTGGGGCACTATTTTGATGGAAAAGAATAGACCCTCTGCCTTCCCAATAAGTGTGCAGTAAAAGGTGAATAATTAAGGATTTATCATCCAAAGTCAGTGTGCATTTGCCCGAAAGTTGAGGAGCCAATAACTTGCATACAAGTAAACTAGATCTGTAAACCAAATATGCATGCAAAATTGAAGTTCTGAAACAAAACTCAAGTCCAGAAGCAGAAGAAAAGCAGAACTTTCCGTCACAGTTTACAGCCATTTATGGCTAAGCACAAGAAGAAGAAAATAGGACTTTTTCTACCAGTTAAAGACATTTAATCAAGAATCCTTCTTTACTTATTTACACTGTTGATTTTAAATGTTGCTTGTTTGCTCTTATTTAGTTTAAACTGATGCTGTCTCATGATGGTAGTGGCAAGGGAGCGGCCCTTGTTGCTGCAGTGGCCAGCAAACTGAAGGATAAGGATGATCGAGGAAGAAGGGGCTCTAAAGTATAAATCGGTGCTTAATGTTGTACCCTTTACTGAATTTGTGATAATATACTCAAGCTTTGTATGAACCTTTATTTTTGCAAAAACAGCTATTACTGCGCTGCATACTCGTAACTAATAGTATTTAAGTATATTATTTTGGATTACATCTGTATGACCGGTTTGGTGTCCTTATGGTCAGTTTATTCCTGAGAATTCCAGATTTACATAAAAGCTGCAAAGTATTCAGTGTTATTTGGCTGCATACTCAAGATTCAAGTATTTAAGTAAATTATTTTGGTCTAAATCTGCAAGATTCTTTTTGCGTTGTTAGAGTCAGTGTATTCTGCAGAGATCTAGATGCATGTAAAATTCGTATCAACCAGTGTGAAAGTTGCTATTGCAAGACATGTGAATTTTTAGTGTGCTGGCACCATGGTGTCTCTGATTTCTTGGAATTAGACAATGACAACAGAAATAAGTGTGAAATATCTGAACGAGACCATGTTCAGAAATGTTTGTTATTTACCTCCACTGCCTTTCCAAAAAACAATTACCCTTAAAAAGGAAGTGAAAACTACTTAAAGTATATAAATAAAATGATAATTACTGTCAAATGTTAAGAAACTCTCTATATAAAGTTAACTAAATACATTTATTTCATTGCTTTCACTGATGCTAACATTCATTTTCTTGGATTAGGAGTTAGCAACTGTAAGAAACTGAGCAGATGGCAGATCACTTGGTAAATTCTACATTATTTGAAAGTCTTGGTAAATTCTACATTTTTTGAAAGTCTTGGTAAATTCTACATTATTTGAAAGTGCACAGATTAATTTGTTAACACCCAAAACAACTAACTTGCTAAAATTGGCACCATGTCAGTTAGCAACAGTGCGGGACTGAACAGATGGCAGCCACTTGGTTTCTTCTACAGTACTCAAAAGTTCACAGGTTATTTAAATATTTAAGACCACTTGTTAACACTGATACTGTGTCAACAATTTTGTTGAAAATTTTGGTATGAAAAACCAGGCAATTACTAGTCTTCTAAATTCCAGACAGACTGCTGGCTGGATTATTTTAATAAATGGTAGAATTTATGTTTTTGGTAAATTTAGGTAAAATTGTGCACTGACATGTTCAGTCTTAATACAGATGTGCTGACCTGTAATATTTCTCAATATAGTCCAGGTGCATGTTTTGTTACAAGAAGTATCTAACAGTTCTTGTTACCAGTATGTTATTTACTGAAATATAAAAGTGATTTTATTTTTTTTAATTTGTAATTATGACTAATTACAAATATGGTTTTGAAACTTGCAAATAATGTGTATTTAACATTATGAGGCTTGCTCTTACATGGACACCAGAGGGAAAGAGGAAAAAAGGGGTGACCCAGAAACAACATGGAGACGAACGATGGAAAGTGACCAGAGTGCGGCATCTTTGACATGGAAAACTGCACTGAAGATTGCACAGGACAGGAAAGCATGGAAAGTCCTCTATGAAGCCTCATGTGTCACTAGGCATAACGAGAACTGATGATGATTATGAGGCTTAGTACTTATGTGACAGTGTATATCTACTCATTTACTGTTTGTAGAAGAAAATCAGTTTATTATGCAGAAGAGCAGACATGAACACAGAAGTTCAGCTGTCTTGTTTTAGTCAGTCATTTATTACAAATACTGGTCGAGTAGAAAAAAAAATGCATATAAAGAATCTACAAATTATCACTATGTTGGACAAGGTTAAATGTCAACTACTGACATGAGTTAATTTTTCCGTCTTTTGTTTTAAAGTTTTCATTCATATTTTGTTTTATAATTAAGCTCCTTAAAGGAGGTTAATTAACTATGATAAATTTGATTCCATTTTATAACATGCAATTCAACTTTTCTCTAACATTTACAGCAAGAGCAGTTACTCTTAGTTGAAGAAATATAGCATGTACTTATTGTGCTATTACAAATTGACCTTGCCTTTATTTCATTAACAATATGAGGTCCTATTTACTCCAAATGCAGGACATTCCAGTATCACTTGTGATGTCATTCAACAATGATGCCGAATCTGGCAATATATCTGTTTTTACATTTACACTTGTTGCTTATCTCTACATGCTGAGAGATTGATTTTATTATAGATTTAGCTTGTTGTTTTACATGCTTTTTTTCCTTTATATTTCTATAGCATTATCTGATTTTTTTTGTTTGGTATGGGAACATATAGTAAAAACAAAACTTGCACACATACCCATTTTTGTTAGGCTGTTTCATATTTTCCTTTGCTTAACTGTCAGTCTCAGAAGGTCAAGGTTGATGACCACAGTATAATTATGGATGCATTATTTCCTCAGATCCTAAATCAGATCTTGTAGGAAACATTCTTATTTAAGTAATTTAGGATGCCATGTATAAATTAAGATGTAGAAATGTGCATAACACCTTGACAGCTGCATATTAGCTTTATCTGTGTACACATGTGGCATTGCATGGTACCGAAAGTGTTCAGTGTGAACATTTTGTGATGTTTCACAATCACAGATCATCTGTGGTTTCAGAAGGAAATAGATGCCTTTTGTGGGTTGGAAGAATAATAAACAAATGTACTTGAGCAAACAAAACAACAATGGAAGCTGCCATGGTGTTGTGCCAAGATGCTAATCTGTAGAGCTGAATCGATTGTAGGTTCAAGTCCAAATCAAGACATTTTATTTGTCTTTTAAAAATGGCCATAGCTTCCAGGCCAATCTGAAATAGGTGTCAGGTAATGGCCTATGAAATAAGGGTGGTCAGCATGATGTTTTGTTTTATGTATGCTCATATTCCATACAACAGAAGGTAAGATTACAAGTTAAGCATGTCAACAATCCCATGACAACTGGAAATTGTTTACAAAAATATGTGCAAGCATAAGACCATTGCTCTTGTAAAAACTGTCAAGGAGAAAAAAAAACTTGCCTTCAAGTACACAGATCCATTTACTTTAGATGGGAAGCAAATCTTACCTAGATGACCCCATTGTCTTGGAGGGAAACTGAAACAAGCAGTTCTTACCTACACGTATATGGATCACATTACTCTAAATGGAAATGAAAGAAGCAGTTCTTACCTACAAGTATATAGATAACAATACTCTAGATGGAAACTGAAACAAGCAGTTCTTACTTACAAGTATAGGGATCACATTACTCTAAATGGAAATGAAAAAAGCAGTTCTTACCTACAAGTATTTAGATCACATTACTCTAGATGGAAATTGAAAGAAGCAGCACTTACCTACAAGTATATAGATCACATTACTCTAGATGGATATTGAAAGAAGCAGCACTTACCTACAAGTACACAGATCACATTACTCTAGATAGAAACTGAAAGAAGCAGCTCTTACCTGCAAGTACATGGATTACAGTACTCTAGATGGAAACTGAAAAAAGCAGCTCTTACCTACAAGTATATAGATCACATTACTCTAGATGGAAACTAAAAAAACAAAAAGGACTTCTTGCCTACAAATGCATAGATTTCAATGTCTTGGATTGAAACTACCAGTTATGCCAAAACTGCCTGTACTTACTACTTCTGCTGTATAGGCAGCGGGGTCTTTGAGCCTGGGGATATAGGGCTGTCTCCCGGACTGTGCAAGTTAGGATTTTTGACTCCTGCAGAAAAGATCTGTGGCCTTAGTGAGGATTCAAACCGGGGTCTCCAGCATGAGAGCCGCAGATCTTACCTTCAGGTATACAGATTTTATAACTTTGAATGGAATCTGTTCAAAGGTCGTAAATCTTAACACAGATGCATTCAATGTCAGATAAGCTCATCTCATGAATTTTAAGATGAATGTGTACTGTAGTTACCTTTAAGTAAAAGAGAAAAAAAATAAAAACAGTTAAAGTTTGTGCACAAACTGTGGTGTTCAATCCTGCCTACATAGGCTGCCTATAGTTTACTAGTGATCTGTGGTATTTTTTCATATCAGATAGGCCTGTCAGCTTCTATATGATGACAGTTCTGAAAAAGTAACATTTTAATTAATCGAGGATGTTTGAGTTAAGTTAAATGTTTGCATGACGTTTACATATTAAACATTTTTGCAAATAATAATTAAAATGTGTTTGCATCAGATTCGTCTGACAGATTATTTGTGTTCTTTTGCAGTTCCGAATAATAAGGAAAATAGCATATTATTTATTATCTTAACAGTTTTATGGTAATGCCAGTGTATAAATTGTGTTTAAACATGTTTACCTCAGACATGCTTGGCATTCCATTCAACATTTTTGTTGGGAGTTTTTAATTCTTTTCTCTTGACATTTTGTTTGTAATTATTATGTTAACAAATGCATTTGTTTATTTCAGCCAATTAATTAATCAACCAATATTTTCACTTATTTAAATGTGTATATTAGTTCTCATGTCTGGATGATTTTCAGAGAATGGGAACTAGGTTGCTATGGACATCATCACTATGAAACTCTTTCTCGGACATTGATGAAGGGGATGGAACAGGTATATGGATGTCCTGAGTGCAGTGATGTCAGTTCTTGATTCATTCATTCGGATAGACTCATAATTTACCTGGGTTTCGCATTTCCATCAAAGGAAAACATAGGAGGAATCCATATTACTTGTACACGCTAGAAAACCTGATAGACTAAACATATATCGTGAGAGCATGTTAACATCGGATTATGATACATTCAGGGTACGTGGGATTTAGATACATGTGATCCAAATCTACTATTGATCTTGCCTAGATTCACTACTGATTTTGATCCAGCATTGGTCTTGTCTGTCTGTCTCCATTATCTGGCTCCTGCTGATCTTATCTGGTTACACTACTGGTCCTTCCTTGCTTTCTAGAAGAAAAACAAATTAAAAACAAGACCATATTCAACCTACTGCTTGCAGTGAAAGTACCAACAGTAATCGGTTATATTTGTAGTCTGGTTTATTTGTACCAAGTGTATTAGCTAACTTACCGATATTGATCTATATCTGGATCCACCACTGATAGTG